TGCTTGGAAAAGTGGAGGGTCAGCGAAAAAGAAGACCCTCAACAACATGGGCACAGTAGAAGCAACAATGGGTTCAAACATAACAACTGTGAGGATGATGGAGAACCAGTCAGTGTTTCATTTTGTTATGCAGACAGTCGGTATCAGAAGCAAGTTAATGGCACCTAACAACAACAACAACAAAAGCAGGAGGGAAGGACAAGGAGGGCAGTAATTGCTTATGGAGTACCGAGTTTTCGTTTAAAGTGAATTGGGTAAAGATTTTTAGGGAATGACTTTAGAAAGTGATACAGACAGACTTAAAAACAAAAAATGACATGGTTCAATAAACCTATAATGTGGCTATCGATTCTAAGCAACATGCCACGATTCTGTTCTGAAATGCAGATAATATATGGGAATATTATGTAAGAAGTAGACATACGGAAATTAATGTGGAAGGAGTATGACTACCAATTCTGGCAGATCAGGTCACCAAATTCTCAGATGACAAGTCCTTGTCAAGTTTCTGTATAGCTCAGCAGAAGGTCCTCATGGCAGTGTAAGCAAGGTTATAGTTGTTGTTAAGTGCCATCACCTCAGTTCCGACCCACAGTGATCCTGTATAGGATTTCTGAGGAGCAGCTGGTGAGCACCGTCAACCTTGCAGTTCAAATGGCTTTACAGTCTGGCGCATTAACCCACAGCATAGGAGACTCATATTCCTGCAGCACTGCTTAGAGAACTTAAAAGCAAGGTGGTGGTGGTGGTGGTGGTGGTTTTGTGCTGTGGAGTCAGTTCTGACTCACAGCAACCCTGTACAGGGTTTCTGAAGCTGTAAATCATTACCTCATCTGGTAGTTTCGAACTGCTGACCTTGTGGTTCACAGCCTGATTCGTAACCACTATGCTACCAGTAGGAGAACTCAAAGGTGAAAGAGGCAACATGTCCCTGACCTAGAACTGAGGCCTGGCCCCAGTGAAGCTCAGAAGTCCACTGACCCCAGTGGACTCAGTACTGAGAGAGGAAATCCATGTAGGGCTTTAGAGACTATTCCAGGCACTGTTTAAAAGAATCTGATATGGGAAAAATGGCGTAAGCTCGCCATATTTTGGCAATTACCAAGGTAAAGCGTCATTTTCGATTAAGCACCAGAAGGCAGTTTCCATCAGCTAGGCTGTGTGCTGCTGCCTCGGGGCAGTCTCCAGCTCTTCTGTCCAAGCACCTGCTGTTACCTTAGGCACCAAAAGTATCTGCATTCCTGTGTCAAGCCACTCCCAAATGGCCTGACCAAATGGTACCACAGCTAGCAGAACAACCCAAAGGTAAAGGAGACTACATGCTTTCTGCAAGGAGAGTGGTCTACATTTTGTGTGAAGTGTTGTTGTTATTCAGTGCCGTCGAGTCATTTCTGACTCATAGTGACCTTGTATAGTAGTTGGTGGGTCTGAACCACCAACCTCGTGGTTAGCAGTTCGGTTTTTATCCTACACCAGCACATTAGGGTTTGTCAGGTAGGCATTGGGAAACATCTTCTCACCTATGCAGAAATTCTGGAACTGATATAAGAGCAAGCATATCACGTGAGAGTCTTAGGAGGAATTCTTCTCAATTGGTGGGTGGGGCTGGGGAGGAAGGATGCAAAGAGAGAGAGTGCTAGAGCAAAGCTTCAAAAGTATGTTTAAAATTTTTTTAAAAAAGGATTATCTTGTTATAGTTCTAATAATGAATTTGAAACTGTTTCTAGTTTCTATGATCGATAAATACCAATATTGTACACCACACTTAAAAAAAAAAAAAAAAAAAACTTGCTCATTAAGTGTGCTCCTTGCTAAAGATCTGACCTATAGTTGTTGCTAAGTGCCCTTGAGTCAGTTCCAACTTATAACAACCCTGTATAGGGGTACTGGTTACGAATCGGGCAGCAAACCTTAAGGTCAGCAGTTCGAAACTATCAGCTGTTCCACGAAAGAAAGATGAGGTTTCTCTGCTCCCGTAAAGATTTACAGCCTCGGAAACCCTGTACAGGGTCACCATGAGTCAGAACTGACTCCATGGCACATAACAACAACAACAACAGCAAATAGGGGTTCCACACAGAGAGCAGCTGGTGGGTTTGAACCACCGCCCTTGTGGTTAGCAGTCCAGTGCTTATCCTATATACCACACCAAGACTCTACCTATGATTAATACCATAAACAAAATATGGAAATGCTTACTTCAGGTGGTTCTATGTCAGTCATGTAGGGGACAGGAGAGCAAGGGTTGACATTTAGCTCCCTAAGCATCGCACCAATCTGATCCTTATAGACGAATATGCTATGTTCCCAACAGAAATTTTCAAAATTCAGTTCTAATGCAAAACTGGAAAAACCAGAGACTATTGCTACACACTTCAGTATGACAGCACCTTGTTCTGACACACAGGAAATCTGATTTTCCCAAATTTACAAAATAAAGATTCTGTATCCCACCAATGCAGCAAGACTCATATCCTTACTGCACAGAATTCCTCACTAACTGCTAAGGAAACTTCTAGGTACGTGACACAGTTGAAGGCTGCCCTGCCTGAGCTTCTGGGATAGGCTTAACATCTAATGAAGTAACTCTTATTTTCCCAAAGTGCCTTTTAAAACAGAGTATAAAGAATATAGAGTATAAAGCGTCATCAAACAAGTTTTTCATTTTACCAACAGCAAAGGAATGCTCTCTGGAGTGTCTGGGTCCTTGTCTTTTAGCTCCCTTATACCTGCACAGTCCTGAGCTCAGAGTTAAATGCTGGTGATGCTCAGTAAATACCGTTGCCATCAAGTTGTCGACATCTAGAATTTCAACTCTCTGTCCCCCTTAATCCTACACTGTCTATGTATATTTGTACATTTCAGGTCTGTGTCAAAGTGGTAACAAAACTAACTCCGAATTTGAAATAGATGGCATACACTCATGAATCAAATTGGTTATCAAAATTTGAAATGCTTATTCTTCCAGTATCCATGAAGTCAGAGAATTCAACGGAACTCCCTACCCACGTGTTTATTAATGTAAGGAATACTGCCACCTGCAACCATCCAAGCTGGATTCCTGGTATTCCACTTTAGGGTACACACTGGACTGTTAACTGCCAGGTTGGTGGTTCAAACCTACCAGCTTCTCTTCGGAAACCGTACTCAGGGTGACTATGAGTTAGAACCAACTCAACGGCACTTAACAACTATTAAACTTGCTTAAGAACTCAAAAGACCAACTATACCATCTTACAGGTATAGATCTGTAATCTACAGGTCCCATGACTGTCTAAGAAGCACTTCTTAAAAGTTAGAATTTTTAACAATATATCAACCAGGGCTTATAAACACTAAGCAATACTTCCCTGTTTCCCTCTTAAATTCCTTCAGAGTTTGAATGGGCACTTTACAGTTCTATACCCTGTAATATCCAGTTGGTCATGAGAAAAAACAAAAACGTTATGCCCAAATTAATACCTTCTTTATTTACCCCTAAAACAAGTTCTATCTGTATTACTAAAATAGATCAAGATGTTGATCAACATCATAAAGCACACACAGCACAGACTTAAAAATTTGTTTGTTGTTGTTTTTTAAATACTTTCCCTAGTATCTGGGAGGAAATTTTAGAACGTTAGCTAAATATAAACGCTTTCCCTTTAAGAAGGAGCCAACTAAAACTGGGTGATAAGCACAAATAGTACATAAGGGCAAGGCAACACTAATAAAAGTCTAAATAAAATGGTTTTCCTACCACCAAATAAGAAGAGACATCATTTCACATTGCAAGGAAAATGACATCTTATTTCAATAGATGCTTCTTAGACTGTGTCTCTTTAGCCATCTATGGGTTGTATGCAAGAAGGTAAGAAAGTTACATGAAGATTTTGCTCACCATAGACTTACACAAATGGCATTTTATATTAATATGACATAAATCCACTCCCAAAAGCCAAGCCAAGCCAAGCCAAAAAAAAAAAAAAAACCTCAAAGGTCTCTCCTCTTATCATAACTTAACCTGAACAAACTCTCAAAATAGAGATTTAACAGGAAGGGATTAACTAAGACTTTCTTTGCAAATTGATTCTCAATTCTGATAAACAGGGACATTATTTGTTAAGGGAGAAAACTTAAGCTCACTGAAGATATAGCCATACCTAGATTTTTATTTTTTCAATTTTTTGTTTTGAAAGAGTTCCCCCTTTCCAATTTTCCCAAAATACCTGAGGCGGAGCAAATAGCCATTGGACATCCGAACAAACAAATGAGTAAAGTACATGGACCAGTTAGGAGCCAGCTGGAAACTGCCAGTTCATCAAAAGCGCCCACATAAAGGTACAGTCTACGTGGGCCAATCTCTCTATATCTGGCCAGTCTTGATGGTTTTTTTCTCAATGAACATATTAAGTGGCATGTCACTCACAATAAGGACAAAATGTGACAAGATAATCACAAGGTATGCATTTCAACACAACGTTCAAACCAGGGAACAGGGCAGTACTGAGTGGAGATGAAATGAAATAAAGACAAGCCGAGCCGGTCAGGACCGAGTAAGGTTGAGGTTAGTGGCAACAGCATGTGTATGGTTTCCAGGAAACCTTCAGTGAGACTGCTGTTAGCCCTAGCCCCGCACCTTGCCCAACCCAGTGTGCTGCCTCTTCTTCCAGCTCCCCGCCTGGCTCAGTGCAGCACTGCCCTGCTCCCAGGGTGCAGACGCCTGCCTGAACTCACCTTGGCAGTGGACGGCCTGAAGTTTAAAAGACGTTAATGCATCATGCCGAAAGTGCAGTGTACATGCACACTTCATACACTCACGGTTCCAGAGAGACAGAAAACGTACCACCAATAAGACCCCACCTCTATTTCAAACACCCTAAAAAAACACTCTGAGAAATCATAGTTTAAGTACTCATATTTGCCACGAAAGTTAAGAACGGAACAACAGTGGCATTACTGCACCATCAAATTTTATCTAATGAATTCAAGTACCAAAAATAATTATGGGCATCACCTACTTTAACTGCCATTATTTGCCCACTTGGTTTGTGGACCATTTTGTTGACAGAACCATAAGCGCCTCGTCCAATTTCTCCAAGGTCTTTCAAGTCCTCCGCAGTGAAATCCCAGTGCTGTTCAGGGGAAATCTTCAGTTTTCCTGACGATTCAATGCTGTGTGTTCTCAGTCTCTCTCTGTTGAAAGGGAGTAATTTTTCCACATTTTAAATAGGCTTTAACTTTTTTCTTTTAACTCGCACTGATATATGTGTGGGAGAATTTGTTTTCTCCTGAGTTACTAAAATAGTCTGACCTCCAGGCTTTTACAGTTTGTTTAGTTTTCTAAACACTGTATTAGTTAAGAAAGGCTTGAACTTAACTAGTCAATAGACATTGTTTCAATAGGATTCACAAACCCGAATTTCCATTCATAGATCAAACTAATTCTGCAAACCAGTTTCATTTCTAAAATATAAGTTACTTTTCAACTTTGAAAACCTGCATTATGAAATGTGCAATCCCAGGAATTGAAAACTTCATTTCTAAAAGGCTCTTATCATACTTAAGCCTACTACTGTCACGTCAATTCCAATTCATAGTGACTCTACTTAAACCTACTACTGTCAAGTCAATTCCAACTCACAGGCCCAGGGAGACGTGCCCCCTAAGATTTCCGACGTTGTAAATCATTACAGAAGCAGACGGCCACATCTTTCTCCTCCCAGAACTGGTGGGTCACAACAGCCGACCTTTCAGTGAACAGCCAGGCATTTTCACTCTGCACCACTTGGGCTCCTTCACCCTACCTTGTTGTTGTTGCTGTTGTTAAGTGCCATCGAGTCAGTTCCAACCCATAGTAACCCTGTATAGGGTTTCCGAGGAGCGGCTGATGAGTTTGAACCGAGAGATGTGAAGAATCCCAAAGCCTAGGGACCATCCCTCCTCTTGCCTTTCATCATTATCTGATTCTCAATTCCCTTATATGAGAGACCTCAAAAAGTTTATGGGGAGGAAACATGGCGGACAACGTGGACCAGCAACAAACTACCAACGCAGTAGAGGAGCCTCTGGATCTTATCCGGCTCAGCCTGGATGAGCGCATTTATGTGAAAATGCGAAATGACCGAGAGCTTCGAGGAAGGTTACATGCCTATGATCAACATTTAAATACGATATTGGGAGATGTGGAAGAAACTGTGACTACTACAGAAATTGATGAAGAAACATATGAAGAGACATATAAAGCCACAAAACGGAACATTCCCATGTTCTTTGTTCGGGGAGATGGTGTTGTGTTGGTTGTCCCTCCACTAAGAGGTGGCTGAAACATTGAATGTGTCCTGTGACGAAATGAAGAGACTTTATACAACTGCTTCTTTAAGACAGAATATATTCAAAAGAGAAACTTGTGTAAAATTAGATATTCAGAAATGACCACGGATTCTTCCACTCTTGAAATGAGTTGATTTGCAAGCTCATAGGCTAAGTGACAGTTTTATTTTTCTCCAGCCCTTCAATAAAAATTTAAAAAAAGTTTATGGGGAAATTCCATTATATCTTTTTTATTTCATTTTCCATGAACTTTTTGAAGCCCCTTCGGAACCGACTCCACAGCACATAACCACCACCACCATATAAAATGCAATATTTGCATCTAACCTACACACATTCTCCCATATACTGTAAATCATCAAGATTATATATATACCACCTAATGCAATGTAAATATGCTATAAAAATAACAGTTTGTGCTCCCTCTTAGCCTTTGAGGGATTTCTTTGACCACTTAATTGTTTTTTTGCTTTAATATTTGTGAGTGGTGGCTGGTTGAATCCATGGATGTGGATCCCGTGGATAGAGAGGGCTGATTGTAGCTGATGTCTCCTTTCCATATGAAGTTTTGAGTAGGCAGCCCAGACTTGGTGTAGGGGCTTCATTGTCGCCTGGATCTAGAGCAGAGGCCTTTTATTTTCTGGTCTATTATTCTCAGTGCCTGGTTAACATTCTTACAGGCCTTGAGCATGACCAGAACGCTAGCCATCACTAATGTTCCCGGCAGCAAAACAGAGGACACCGGGCAAGCAAAAAGAACCTTCCTTCCACCTGAGTCGTCTCCTTTTAGTTCTGCATTCATACGGTACACCTAAGTGTAGCCTTGGTGTTGGGTGCAATGTTGCCCTGAAGAGAAAAAGATCCTGCTAAGAAGGAAGAAGAGAAGGATAATGGCTGGTTACTGGGTGGCAGCTAATAGTTACTGCCACAGGAACTCTAAGCTGACTTTTCCATATTAATATTCATGGGATTCAGAGCCAAGGGTGATCTGTACAAGTTGTTGTTGTTAAGGGCCGTTGAGTCAGTTCCAACTCACAGCGACCCTGTAGAGTTTCCAAGGAGTGGCTGATAAGTTGGAACCGCCAACCTTGAGATTCAAACCTACTTTGCAATCCAGCGCATTAACCTGCAGTGCCATATGTATTATATTAAAAAGCTGAGAGCTGTAACAGCTGTCATGGACATGTACAGTTCAATTATTGTATGCTGTTAAAGTTGAACACTGCCTAACTTCCTACACATTATGACTCCCAATATCGACACCAAGTTCCTTGTAGACCAGGCCACAGTACAATTTGAACAGTAAATCATACAGCTTAACATCTGAGAATGATAACATCTGCAAATTACATGCTACAACACTATATGTAGTACATATTACTAACAAGATACACAGTAAGTACAACAAACCTACAGCTATTAAGTGTAGTTCGTCATAACTCAAATATGTTTTAAGTCGGGGAATACAGATATAAGCAACTAATTTCCAAGTATTGCCAACACCTTCTCAGTGTCTAAAGTCACCAGAGCTTTTATGCCTAAGGGGCTAAGACACAGGCAATTCACTGGACATTTTTAAATACACTATTCTGAGCACTCTGGTTTACATGTTCAACTCATTTTGAATGGCAGGTGGCAACTAGCAGCTGACTAGGGAGGTTCCAGATTCAAAGGCTAGCGTTAGGACAGGTGTGAAGCATGGGCTAACATGAGGATGAATGGAAAGCCTATCTAGAGAGCAGATATCAATCAGCTCCCCTCCCTGAGCACTTCACCTGGCACTGTTTATTCCCAGGCAAAAAACCAAAGGGTTTTCTCCAAAGGGTTTTCTGTCTAACAAAATGAATAGATATAGTGTAGAAGTTGGAGCTGTCTAATGAAATGAATAGATATAGTGTAGAAGTTGGAGCTGCAGAGGAAACCCTCCTTGTTCTATAACTTGAGAGGCTCTAGCCTAATATCGATGGCAATACACTAGGGCTACGTTTAGCCTAATATTTGCATCCTCACTTGTCCTTAAGGTAAACCCCTTGATTTACAACTTCCTAGAGACAGTCATAAGAACTGAATGAAAACTATTTAAAGTGTTTGCTTAAAGGAGTGTGACTGGGGTAGAAGCAGGAGTTGGCTGTTTTTCATGGAAGCTCTCTCTCTCTGACTTGATTTTTCACACATTAGACTATATCTAACATTCTAACGGAGACTTCCAGGAGATGCACAGGTAGCTCCTGTCTACTACCACTAACTAAGGTTGATGAATGTGGCCATATGATAAGAGTACAGTATCACATATTACCTCTCCTGCCTAACCCAATAGTTTATCTATTTCCATAATGCTCACTCAAAGGCTCTCCAACTAAAATAAGTCCCAAGCTTGCTAACAAATACACATTCCACATTATTAGTCTATATCACTTCCATGACCACCAGCTGATGTGAACTTATAGATCCTTAAGGACATAGGTGAATTGCTATATACCATTTCCAAGACTGTAAATCTTTACAGAAGAGCAGACAGCCTCTTATTTGTCCTGAGGAGTAGCTGGTGGGTTTGAACTGCAGGTCTGTGGTTAGCAGCCCGATGCTTAACCTACTGCACCACCAAAGCTCCTTCCACCACCTTCTGATTAAATCTACTTCTTCTGAATCATATCTATTCCTCAATGCCATAATCTTGCCACAAGCCTAATCCCTCAAATCTCTGCTTCTTATTTTGGGACAACAATCTTTCATTAAAATTTCAAATTCATTTCATCTATTTTGAGGTGGGAGTTGAGGACAGATGGAAATGTGAAACTTTAGACACTGCTCCTCATCACTTCACTGTAAGTAGTTTCAGTACTACTTACAGTTTCTCTTGTAAATATTTGAACACTACTGACACTGTAGCATAAACATTGAACTGCTTGCTAACCCACCAGCCGCTCCTTGGAAACCCTGTACAGGGTCACTAGGAGTCAGAACCAACTCAACGGCACTTGACAACAAGTCCTCTGGTGGTCCTGCTTTTGTCACAGAGGTTTTCCTTTAAGGTCTCAACAAGGCCATTCTTACCCTGTCCTTAAAAAGCAAGTTTAAATCCTCTGTCGAGTTACCAAGTCTCCTGTGGAGTACATTCTTCAGGGATCCAAAAGGATGCTTGCCAAGAGCTGGCCACTCTCAGCCAAAACGATGCCCTAAAAACCAAAACCCAGTTCTTAAATACCACCTGTAGTCTGCTGAGTCGTCCTGCCTCCAAAGTTCAAGTCCACACAGAACCTCACAATGTGACCGAATTTGGAATAAGGGTCTTTGCAGATGTGACGAAGGTATGATGCCCAGAAAAGATCATCCTGGATTAGAGTAGAATCCAAATCCAATGGTGAGGATCTTCATCAGAGGCAGTGACACACCAATGGGAAAACAGGGATAAAGGCCATGTGAAGACACAGGCAGAGACGCAAGTTATACTGCCCAAACCCAGGGAATACCGGACGCCACCAGAATCAGAAGGAAGGAAGGACTTTGGAGAATCATGGCCCTGCCAACAACTTAATTTCACACTTCTCTTACAGAATACATTTCTCTTGTTTTAACCTACTAAGTGTATGATCACTTAATACTCCACTTAAAACCATGAATCACTAAATTTTTCCTTAAAAGGACCAAACAATCACTTTTAAGTATTGTGGGGCATACAGTCTCTGTCACAACTCTGCCATTGTAGAATGAAAGTGTCCAAAAGCACATATCACCAGGCCTGCTTTTGTTGGGGTTTCCAAGATACCTATGGGTGGATCTGAACAGTCAACCTTTCAATTGGTAGATGCGCGCTTACCCATTTGCACCACACAGACTACACATCTAAATTATCACTATCATTT